GAGAACATGCTTTCCAACTTAGAAGTCAGCCATACGTTTTACAGGGGTCCCTCCATATGGGAAGCATGTGGCAGTTCCGTGCCGTCTGTGGCAGGGAGCGTGGGTAGTCTAACTAGGCTTTCGTTTTGAGAAACCCATGGTTTCCACACATCCAAGCCACATCCTCAAACCCTGCATTTATTAGCTATAAAACTGCTCTTTTTGTTTCCGTCTGTCTAATTTCCTTGCCTAACAAACTCAATTAATTTTGACTTTCAGTGAAGGGAAAGGGTGTTATGTGTCAGGCTCCTTCAAACCCCTGGAGTGTAACCTATGCTTCTAATGGACACCAAAGTCAGAATAAAAATCACGGAGGGCCAGTGAGATGGCTTAGTAGGTACAGACACCTGCCGTCCATCCTGACGACCGAGTTTGATCCCAGGGGCCCAGTCAGTAGAAGAAGAAAACCAATTTCTAAAAGTTACCTATTGATTTACACACACACACACACACACACACACACACACACACACACACACACACAAGACACACACACATATACACATGCACATGCATAAGCACACACATGCAAAATAAATAACTTTAAAATGTAGTTAAAAAATTAAAAATCTAATAAAACCTTTAAAAATAGATGGTGAGGAAACAATATTCAAAGACAGTGGGAGGCAATGGTCATGTGACTATGACCGTCCTAAAGCCATTGGTCTGAATAGTATATGCTTGAAGTCTATGGAATGTGGCATATGTCTCAATAAAAAGGTTAGGGAGGAGGCAGGGTAGGACAGTGACCAGTTAAGTGATCTTGACTTAATCGGCAGGTCCCAGTGAAGTGAGAAACGCTGCCTTAAAAATCAAGGTAGACAATACCTGAGGAATGATAGCTGAGATCCATCTCTGGCCTCCACACAGACACACACACAGATGCACACAAATGTGTTTTTGTACAAACAAGAAAATAGATTAAGAACCTTTTAAAAAATAATAAAAGGTAGTAATGGTTTCAAAAATTAAAGTGTATTTCAAAATGAAGACATCTTCAGATATGTCATAGTGAATATGAGTAACCAATTCTTAAAGGCTACCAAGAAGAAAGATTGATCAACTATTAAAAAAAATTAAATGATGACCATGTTAGCAAACTTCTTCACAGTGTAACAGAAGCTAGAAAACACCGAAGAATATCTGTAATAGACAACTAAAACCAACCCTACACCCAGATAAACTATTGGGTCAAAAGTCAGCACAAAAGAAAGACTTCTCATTGTCATAATTAGCTCTCCACTGAATACCTACAAAGAATTAGAATGAAGGGAATAATAACAGCAGAAATAACTGAAACTTAAAGTCATCAAAGACAAAACTGGAAAAGGCTAATAAAACAGACAAACTGCTTTGAACATGATCTCCTCTCCGTCCCCCCCCCCAAAAAAAAAGTAGAAAAAAGGCCGCAGAGATGGCTTAGAAGATAAGGATACTTGCAGAGAACAGGGTTGGGTTCTTAGCATCCATGTGGTGGCTAACAGCAGTCTATAACTCCAGTTCCAAGGGTTCTGACACCCTCGCTGGACTCCCTGAGGACATAAAATAAAGATACTTCCTAAAGCTAGAAAATAGACAACTGCAGAAACTGAGAATAAAAATGGAGCAAATGCAGATATAAAGAAAAGATTTTTGAAATTATACAATAAGTTTAATAAGTTATATCACTAAATTTGAAGACTACAAGATGATAATTAATTAATCCCAGAAATAAAACAATATCCAAAATTACAGATGACATTAAACATCCAAATAGCTTATTCAACATTAAAGAACTGGGCCGGGCAGTGGTGGTGCACGCCTTTAATCCCAGCACTTGGGAGACAGAGGCAGGTGGATCTCTGTGAGTTTGAGGACAGCCAGGGCTACACAGAGAAACCCTGTCTCTAAAAACCAAACAAACAAACAAAAATCAAAGAACTGAACGTTCCTCTAGAATCCCCCAATCACTGAAAGAACGGTTATCTAAGTATTACACAAACCGCTCCAAAGAAAAGAAGGAAAGTCCCAATCTATTTTCTCTCTCTCGATTCCTGGGTTCTCAGTCCCATTTCTTGGCTGTTTCTAGCAGCTGCCTCACTATGCTTCTCACCACTATTCTCTCCTAAATCCCAGTGCACCTGAGACATTAGATGCCCCTGCTGATGGGAGTCCTCCACAACTGCCATTTGATCCATCCATTCATTGAACATCACCTCTCACCTTCCCATCTCTTCTTTCCGGTTCTCTGAATTCTGTAAACACTCTAACCTATCAGAACCCTCGGTTCATCCACCCCGCAACTGCCCCACCACCCCTCAAGCCTGGCGCTCTCCTTTGCCCTCACTTCAAACTCCTCTTCAATTCCTCAGTATCGCTGTCCCCCTTTCCTTAATCACAGGCTTCTGACCAGACCATGATTTCCATCTCTTTTGAGCCTGCAGAAGAAGATCACACAGCCAGTCTGACTGGCTGACGTTACGTTCAGGGTCAGATGCTGTACGTTGCTGTCTCCCTGCTTGTGTCGCTGTGTGCTGTGGGACACTGAGTTACTCCTCCTCCCAGCTGCACACTGGTGCCCTCTCCGCCCGTCCTTGCTTCCCCACACTCTGCTCAGCTCTGATACTCACTGTTGTCCTCTGTCAGACCAACATTTAGCTTCTTCTGTACATCAGTGACCACATGAAGTATTTGCCTGTGCCTGATTTATTTCCCTTGTTCAACTCCCTTCTCTTACCAGTTCCAGCCAATTTCTTTTTTAATATTGCATTCCTTTTATTTACATGTGTTATTTATTTTATTTACTGTGGGTGAGAGCACATGCTCGTATACGCCAAGGCACACTCTTGTAAGTCAGAGGATAACTTGCTGGCGTTAGTTCTCTCTCTCTTTTCATTATGCAGGTCCTGGGGATTGAACTCGGGTCATCAGGCTTGGCAGCAAGCACCTTCCCTCTCTAAGCCATTTGGTTGGCCCATTGGATTTCTTTGCTAATCTTTATGTCAAAATTCCTTGAAAGAATTGTCTACACTCCTTTCCACTCCTTCTGCTTGTGGTGAAGTTCCCCCTGTACCTTACCCCTCAACTCCCCTTTTCAATTCCTTCAAAGGGCTCCTTTCAGTTGACTTGTGGCTGCTGTCTTGGTCGTACCCTCTGCTCCTGGACACCTTTCTTGACTTCCAGGATACTAGAATATCTTGGTGCCCAGTCCCCTCGGCTGGAACATCTTCTATCTGAGTCTCAGTGTTAGAATGCCACTGGTTCTCTGCTGTTCAACCTTCCTCCATTGTAGCCACGCTTTCTATTCTTACTTAGACACGCATGACTTCACACGGCTGGTAATTAATATGCAACGATTGTCAAATTTCCATCTCCAGCCCACACCTCTACCCTGAGCTCCAGGTTCATGGATCCAGCTGCTTAATAGACATCTCTACTTGGTTAGTCAATAGAGACCTGCAACTGGACGTGTCCCAAGCTGAGCTTTCACTCTCTCCTCACATAATCCACTCTGGATTTCCCCATCCCAATACCATCCTTCAATCCCGTGGAGCATCATCGCTCTTCTTCTCCCATGTTCCATATCCTGCCCATCAGGAAGTTAAAAACTATGGTCCAAACCAGACCATTTACCACTGGTTTCATTTGTTGTCCCTTCCTCTAAGTTTCTGTTTCTGGACTGGACCCCAGCAGTAGCCTCATGACTGATCTCCCTGTCTTACTTTCCTATCCACAATTGAGATCCTTATTGTTAATATTTAAGTGAGCATCCAAAACAATGTATTTCCTTAAGACATTTCCATACATATATACCATTGTACCTTGCTAGAGAGCCTTTATACTGAGTCAAGGCATGCGTTTCCTCTACTTGACCCTCCGTACCTCACAGAGCAGAAGGCTCACAGCACCCCCTCTTCAGCCCCCATACGTCACTTTCCCATTCAACTCTGGTTTCAACTCTGATTCTTTCCTTCTCCATCACTCCATTCACACCAGCCAAGCAATGCATTGGGTACCCAGAGCTGTGGCTGTTTCCTCTACCTGTGTGGGTGGTTATCCAAAAGTCATCTCAAACTGGCCTTTTCTAGCAAAACTTCTGATTGCTCATCACCAAACCCTAGTTTTACTTTTACCCACACTATGGTTTGAACGTATGCACCGCCTCCCCGCCCCCCCTAATTCATTCACTGAAATGTGGTCCACAAACTCACATGGTATTTGGAAGCAAGGCCTTTGGGAAGGAATTAAGATTAGGAGAGGCCTCTAGATGAAGCCCCAAAATGTCATTAGTGGCTTTATAAAAAGAGGAAGAAAAACCCACACTAACATGCTTGATCTGTCTTGCCACGTGATTCCTTTGCCATGTTATGATACAGTGAGAAGACCTGCACAAGACTGAGCAACACCAAGATCCATGACCTCTCAGCCTCTAGGCTATGACCAAAGAAACTTCTATACAGCTGTAGAGCTCTCAGGTACTACAACAACACAAAACAGGCCAAGACAGTTCATCCATGGAAAGGACACAACTCAACAGTTTTTAGTATAGTCACTGGGTTGTGCACCCACGACCACTCTCAATTTTAGAACATTTTGTTGTTTCTAAAAGAAACCCATTGTAACCAGTCACTCCCTCCCCCCAGCCCTGAGCACACAGTTCAACTGTTCTGATATTTGCCAGCTACTATCACTGGGTGGAGCACAGCCATCCCTTGGACACAGTGATTTCAATGCCTTTAGATGTATCTCCAGAAACAGGTTGGTTGGATCTGATGGTAACTTACAGATACTGAGTATTTTTCATATATCTGTTGCCCATTCATTTGCATATCTTCTTTGGAAAATCCAGGTCCTTTGACCATCTTTTAGGCTGTGTTATTTCTTTTCTTACTATTGATTACTTGCATTCCTTGTACATTTTGGATATCATTTCCTTATCTGATGAATGGTTTGCAAATATTTCTCCTCACTTGATGGCTTACCTCTTCACTGTTCTTTGCTATACAGAAGCTCTTCAGTCTGGTGCAGTTCTTGCCTGTTTTGGGGTCCGTTGCCTGTGAGATGCAAAATTTTAAACATTATTATTTAAATAGGTTAAAATTACAAAAGAATATTTGTTTCTTAGAGATAACACAAGTGGGAGGGAGAAGAAGGAAGATTGGGAGGCACCAGGGGAGGAGGAGGTACATATTAGCCAGTGGCTAGGAGACACAGGGCCCCAAACTGTATAGCAATGTACAACAAAAAGCCATAACTGAATTTTACTTCCTACATCAAAGGTTATCAACTCAAAGCAAACCAACCTCTATCAAGGAACCAGTTTATCCTTCCGGGAGCTGCCAGGCAAAATGGGTGCCTCTTCAACACCAGGTTTGGTTATAACTTGGACCATCTCATGGCAGGCATATTGAACTCAAGTGGTTAGAGTCCCAAGAGAAAGTAAACAGGAAGGAACAGGTGGAGCACCAACGTCCCAAAGGCCAGATGCCCGGTAGTACCCTAGTGAACGTAGGCAGCAGATGGTAGCCAGGGCCAAGTCCTGAGAGATGGGGCAGTAGAGTCAGGAGGTCAGCTCTTCCCTCCATTTCCAGCAGGACACACCATTCCAGCGCTGTCCCTCTCCCAAGGGAAGCATCCAAGGGAAAACAAGCCGGGTGTCAGAGCAGGCACACCAGCAAAAGGCTGGGTTCCGCTGACGAGTGTGATGTATCAAGATGTTTAGCTACAGAAAACAACCAACACAATGTGTTGTGCAAGGGGGAGCATAAAGTGACAGAGATAATGTTGTCGTCAGTTTTATATATTCCGTATTAAAAATACTGTGTTGGGCCGGGCGATGGTGGCGCACGCCTTTAATCCCAGCACTCGGGAGGCAGAGCCAGGCGGATCTCTGTGAGTT